CCTTTTTTATAAAATAAAAATACCAAAATAACATAACTACACATATTAACGTCAATTCTAATAGAATATTTCATTTCCATTTGTTGCTTAAACTTCAATTCCTTAAAAATTCTAACAAAATATTATCTACTTTACTTCTAACAGAATATTTCAACACACTTATAAACATGTTATTATAATTCTAACAAAATAGTATGTACTTTACCTTAGCATATTGTAACAGAATCTTCCCAATAAGTCAACATATCAAAATTACCTCATTTACACAAAAACCATCTCTTTTTGATATTTTATCAAACACTTGGAAGACATGTTTTATTATCATTCAATTAAAGCATCAAACCAAGAAAACATCTTTCTCTTTTCCAATGACATAATCACTACTATCACACGAAGACAAACTTTTCTTTGAATACATTAGACAAATATATCATGAGAATAAAGTGAGCATGGTTCCAATGTCATTAAATTAACATCAACATTATAAACATTTATTCTTGAATAATACATAGAAAAAAATAAGTATTGAATTAGATGAATAACAACTGAACGTTAGAAATAAAGATTCAATTGCAATAATTAATGAGTTTAACACACATGATTGTTGTCGATTATGATTATCAAGTTTATATCCATACAAAGCAAATTTTTAAACATAAATCAGGAAGATAACAATGTAATTGGCATGTATGTGAAATGATGAACGAGAACTTAAAAAAAAGGAAAAAAAAAACAGATTTTATAGTAAGAAAAACCTATGTTTTCATAAATCATATTTTCAGATAATTCTATGTCGATAGTGTGAGGATCAAAAATGGGTTTTTTCACGAAGCTTTGTTGTCGGATGGTTTTGATTTCTTGAAGCGGCAAATTTATTGAGAAAAACACAAACCTTCGATGAAGTGAGATCACTTAAACCAGAAGATCGATAGTGGAAATGCTCTATTTTGGTATCGTCACCGTTTATCAAATGCGGGAAAAAGCAGTGACCGACGGTAAAGATGATCATTCCCGTTTTTTGGCCGGCGATTGAATGAGAAATTTCTCATATAGCCGACTGTGTTCATACGAGGAAGAAGGGAAATTGATGTTGATGGTTATAAAAGATAGAGATTAGGTTAATATATTTATTTTGTTTCTTTAATTACAAATATTTAATTAAATAATCACATTAATTGCAAGTGCAGAAAACTTGAAATACCTTTTTTGATTTAATTAATTATTTAGTTATTTGTTAATTTCTAATTCATGCATTCAAGAACACAATAATTGTTGGAAACATTTGAACCTACCTCTCTCTCTCTCTCTCTATATATAATATATATATATATATATATATATATATATATATATATATATATATATATATATATATATAGTTAGGTTATTTTGTTTCTAGTAACTATTGTATGCCAGAATGCACATATCTGGACAATTGGGTGAAATATAATCAAAGATCATGATCTGAGGGTGTATGATAGTAGAATAGAATAACATGTACCATATAATTACACAAATTTGAGCATAAGGGTATTTTAGTCAATTAACCTATATTAAAAAAGGGAATTTTCTGATTTTTAGGGATAATTAATTCCTTTATTTTTCAAAATCTGAATATTTTAAATTAATTTAAAATAAAAAGTCCGATTTTATTCTGTCAGAATGATAGAATTTTAACCATAAACTAGTAAATATATTTTTCGATTTTATTCTGTCAAAATTACAGAGTGACAACCATAAACTAGTAAATATATTATGAAAGAATACACAAAATCGATTCTTGAACTAATAATATACCAAATAATTACATTGTATGATTGTGATTCATTGAATAATAACAAACATTCTGAAAGAATAATAAGTATAATTCTTAAAAATAACAACATTCTTACACAATGAGTGTGACCATTATTTAATTCATTATTCAAGTCTTTCCCATAAGGTATTCAAGCAATTCTTCAAGCCATTTCTATCAGAAATTCATTGCCAAGTAATTTGTAGTGATACACTTGTGTTTGCATTCTGATATGAAAAAAAATAAAGAATAAAATTCGAGTTCATTCTTAGAGAACAATCATTGTAAAAGAATAAAATTAAAGCTTCCCTGCCTTTTTTGGTTGTCTAGGTCTGATCAATTTGCAGGATTACATGTAAAGAATATTTCTCTTCTTCATTATGAAAGAATAGTAGCCTTCTTCAAACTAAAGCCCTTTTTATTCTAAAAGAATATTGCCTTCATTCTGAAAGAATTTTCAGGTTAACATTCATTAGGTAAAGCAAACAAGTTATATTACTGTAGGTGAAAATAAAAAAATATAAAGTTTGAAACCATTTTAAGCTAAAGTTTGCAAACCTTTAAGTATTACTCAATTAACTAAAATATTAAAAAAAAAAAGAAGAAGAAGAGAGCATGGAAGGGATTTGCTGCCATATCAGCCAAGCTAATGATGATATTCACATGCAAACAAATAATAAATCATCACAAATCAAGGAATGTGAATGGAATGGAATGGAAATATGGAATGGAGTCAGTCATTACCTTGAGAAGGTGCAGTAACATAATAAGCAAGACCACCAACTGGAACAGATTGACCAGAGTATTCAGATTCCTTCCATTTTCACAACATATTAAACAAGAAATTCCCACTGTACTTTTTGTGCAAGAATTGAAAAGGATCGACAACAACAACAATATAAGTAATTATTCAATTCAACAAGTAAAGAAATAAAGAATAGATAAAAGTTTACAGGTCAAAACATCGGTAGTAGTTTATTCCTCATGTGAAACCAGTTTGCTCGAACTTTTTGGTGTAATAATCAACATCTTCTTCGGATAACCATGATGACAAGATGACAGGAGTATCATACAAAGCTCCAAAGGGCTTATCTTTAGTGAAATACAACGGATCAGGATCACGATGTGTCAAGAATTTCTCAAAAACCTTCTTGGTTCCAAGACTCGCAAACACAACTTCTATTTCCCCTGGTTCCTACAACAAAGTTAAACAGGGAAGAAAAAATCGACCCTAAATTGTCTGATTCCTTTGTAAGACGCTTATGTAGCGATGATTTTAAGGAGTAAGAGGATTAGCTGTACAAGTAGAAGTTGTACAGATATCGAGAAAAGGAAACAAGAGGTTGAGCCTGATGTGAAAACAGCGACAACAAATTGGTCCTTCTTTCAGGAATTTAGTCGAGCGCCTTATGTGCATAGCTCATTCTTCTTGAACACATTAGGTTTCCCTTACTTAACCATCCAATTCAGCGAACAATAGAAATAGATAGTTCGAATCACAAGTTAACGGACCATAATTCATGAGATTTGAAGAGTTGTTACCGGATAAATAAGGGCATACGAAGTTTGCTCGATCTGGAAAAGCTCTAGAGAACCGATCAACGAAGGAACTGTAGCAATGTTGCAGAAACATACATCAACTTCTTGTGACTCCAAAATTGCCTCGATGTTGAAGCTAGCTTCGATTGAAGATGGAGCCACCGAGAATAACATCTTCTTAATCAATGGAATGGGGAAACAAATTTGCAGCAAGAGGTTTGACTACCTCTTTTGATCAGACGATGTTCATTCGTCCATAAGAAAATTAGAGGAGGCAGAATACATATGATATAGAAGGCTAGGGTTAAATAGTTGGTCAAACAGATTTTTATGGTAATTTCCATGAATTAAGAGATTTTATTTTAATTAGCATGCTAAAGTTACATAATTACCCTTATTACAATATTTAATTATTTAATTATTCCTAAATTCCTATTGGTGCATTCATGCACACAATAATTGCTAAAAACATTTGAACATATACATACATATATATATATATATATATATATATATATATATATATATATATATATATATATATATATTCTACTTTTGTCAATTCGTTTTTTTTATAACCCAAAAGATGTATATATATGTCCATACTCTTTAGGCAGTACCCTGGGCATCTAAGGCTAGAGGGAGTGGTGCCACCGAAACCGCACTCCCTTCACCGCCACATAAGCGTCATGTCATTTTTTTACCACACAAGTGTGGTTTCTTGCCACACCAAGGGAGTGGTGCCACACTTTTATTTTCTTTTATTTTTGTTTTTTTAACTATTTTAATTTAATAAAACTTCTTTTTTAATAAAAAAAACATAATTTTAAAAAGATAATATTTCATTAATTAAAAATAGAAATACCATACATTGCTTAACTTAAAAAAAGCATAAAAATTTAGAAAAGCAAATTAGAAACATAAAACCTACAACTTAATAAAAAACACACCAAACGATTAAAAACTTGAAAAAAAAACTAGAAGTTAGCCACGATTTGCGTAACGTTTTTTCACTTCCTCCTTCATCGCCAAAATACCTTGAAGCTCGTCCCTGGTCATATTCGACGTGTCCAACGATAGTACTCTCATGTCGCTGTCCCTTTGTTTCTGAAGCTCTCTTTCAGAAGCAATTTGCAAAATCTTGTCCATTCTATCTTTTATACCCTTCATGTCGGCCCCCATTTCTTTCAACTCATATGAATCCGACGTCTTGCCTTTGCCTTTTCTTTTTTGCTTTGTATCTTCCCATTGGTCGGGAAGGTGGTGAAACTGGAATAGGTTCATCTTCGTTCAGATCAAATTGAACACAAGCATCTGATGTAGTGTGGTCGGACTCAGATGTTCTGCTGCGTTTTGAACCACTGCCGATATGCTTGTCTGATGTTTTGCTATTTTGTCATTTCTTGTTATCTTTCACAAAATTCCAAACTTCAAGAAACTTGAAAGCCTTAAGTTTTTTTTTAATACACTTTCAGCGCTTTCCTCAAAATTACATCATCGCTTTCTCCACTTTTCCGTTGACGTTTCATGTTGTTATACAAATCATTAAACAACATGATTTCCTTGTTCATATCCTCCCATTTCAAGTACACTTAATGTTTTGAACGATATTCTTCACGGTTCATTCCTTTATGAAACCTATGTAAAACACGAATCCAAAAGCGGTCATACTTTTGGTCTTTTCCAACCGTCACATTTTCTGAAATATCGAACCAAGATTGTGACAACACTAACACTTCTAGGGGTTCCCAACCTTTAGCATCCGCCTTCTCTTTTCTTTTAGTTGCTGCTCGAGTGGGTTGAGTTTCTGTAACGAATTACAGTTCGGAATCAGAAACGACCGTTTTTGGTTGTGTTTGTGTTTGTTAAACAAACTCGGGTTGAGACAAAAAATCAAATGGATTAAAATTTGTGTCAAGTTGTGGTAGTGGTTGTGTTGGTCATTGTGGAAAATACGAAAACATACCGCCATAGTGGGAATACGGAGGTGAAAAAAATCGGTTGATCAGATGAAGGTATTGGGGTTGTGGTGTTTCAAACGAGCGTTTTTTCTTTGCAGGGTCTTTTGGAAGAAGATATTTTCAAAGAAATAGGAGGAAAAAAGAGTAAAAGTGTAAGGATTTTGGTTGAATGTTATGTAAAAAATTGTAAGTATATATATAGAGTAAAGTAAAAAATAAAATAAATAAATAAATTAAATTCGGACGGAAGGACCGTTCAACGGTCAAACATGCAGCAACCAATCACAACATGTGGTCTTTTCTAGTCACACTGTGGCCAAAATCGCAGGAAACCACACCTAGGGAGCGGTGTTTGCGGTCCTGGTGGCATGAATGCGATACCAAACCGCAGCCCACTCCAGGCAGCCTAAGTGGATCCCCCTTTTCAGGTTTTATTTATGTATTTATTTATTTATTTATTTTTACAAGATTTGGATATTATTGGGCTATCTCTTCTTCTCCTATATATGTCATTAAAGTATTAAAGTTAAATATTTTTGGCTATTTTAAAAGAGTTCTGTCCAAATAAATATTTTTGATTTATAATATAGCCTAGCAATATTTTTTTAACGGGGTAGCGCTAAAAAAATTTAGGTTTCTAGACTAAATTTACCAGGGTCCAGGGGGATCTACATGGATCCCACTGTGACTCATATCAAAATTGAATCGCAATACAGCAACATGGACCATACCAAAAACATTACTGCATGCAGCATCGCTAAATTTTGTGGTCAAAGTCATTGGAAATTATCCTCCACTTCAGTCCTTTTAAAGTTCACTGATATGTGGCCGACATGCTTTAAGGAAAGTCATTACTAGTTTGTTCCAGATCATTCAAGTGATCCATCATAGCATTATTGGAGGAAACATACCAGCTTCAATTTAAGCCATTCCGAAGACATACTCTGCACTCTGCTTCTCCTTAATTGCACTCCCTTAGTCCTTACGCATACCACACAAGTGCCATTGATCAGAAAACCCGAAGCATTATCATGGATATCTACGGCCGACCCGAGCATGATCCGGAATTCCAGGTACTTGAGGCGTCTTGCCCAAATATTACAACAGAATACCTATATTCCCTATGGAGTCTAGTATACCAGTCACGTCAGCAAAACCAGTACAGCAAACCTATGCCGTGGATTGGGATGTATATAGCATTAGCATCTCTGCTCTGTGTCCTTGCAATGGTGGCTGATTTATTAGATGGTTTGCGAAACAGAAAGCTCTGGTTCCCATGTAAATATTTCACTCTGAATGCCGCATCTCTCACTGTGATAGCTGTTGCAATAAAGCTGCCCATGGATCTAACTACTCTAATGCCAGGTGTTATGGACCAGGCTACAAAGCTTGGAAGCATGAGCTTTATGTGCACCATGATGGCAAATTTATTGCCTTCTTTAGCAACCATGAAGGACAAGGAGCTAGTCTCAAACATGATAGCTGTAGCTGTACTGGTAATCTCCATGGTTGTCAATTTTTGCATTCAGTTAGACACGGGAATTTTATTCTATATTTCTGAAGGTGCATTCTTTTCATATAAAACACCGTTCCTTTTTAAATTTATTTATGTAGCCGGTTGGGTGGTTCCGATACTCATGTTGCTGATAATATATGCATGTTTATCTTTATCAATTCTAAAGTCCAAACAGATTCTAGAATTGAAATACAAAACAGCTAATGAAACAGCTTTAAAGGATCTAGTGCTGCCTGATAGAAGATTAACTGTTGCGAAGCTAAATGAGTATGTGACAAAGTACTGGATCATGGCAGGAACCGGAAGCCCTCAATTTCTGACAGTCTGCTCTATTTCGACATCTGCTTCAGGGGTAATATGTGCTGCAAGCACTGGCTTCTTTATTTCAGTTATGATTCACAGATTTCCACGTGTAGGACATCAAGCGGACTATAAGTCGGATTATAAGTGGTCATTGGTAGTGATTTTCGTGATACAATCCATCGGAGTGATACTGGGTACAATTGCCCCGCTTGCCAGATGTTTTGCAACCTTAAGCTTTGATTTGTCAATAAAATGGATTTGGAAGCATGTGAAGATCTGTGAAGTAGAGAGCTACCGGAATCAGAAGTTATATAATTGGAAATATAGTTTCATACCATTCCTATCCGGTAGCCGCAAATGCAAGATTGTCATCCAGCATTTGAAAATCCAAAGTATCATTCTTTGTGTAGGATTTCAGAAGACAGTCCTTGTAGCATGCAAGATGATAAACATGATTACAATTCTGTTTTTGATATTTGTCTTGTTTTGTCGTTCTTGTTGGAAATGGTTAAAGGCCATTATGTTTAGCACATCATGTCATACGTTGGGAGAACAACCTAACGAGCACCTAGGAAAAAATGAAGATCTTATCAGGTATGTTTTGCAACTTCACGAAGACTTACAGGTTACTGAGAAAACATTGAAACGCTTGTTAAAATCTGTGAATCGCTTGATCCAAAAGGCTGAAAAACAACAACCCATGAATCTTATGAAGCTTCTATCAAAATCTCATGGTTTTGAAGGACTTGCAAAGTTTAACAGCAATCATGTTCATTCTTTACTTCCACAAGAATATGTCAACTGTTGGTCTTTGCCTTTGGTAACACTAACATCCATCGCCATGTCTCTACCTGACATCCAAAAGAACATGGTCGATTGCTTGCTTAATGGTGTGAGTGAGGGTCTTTTATATGTCACCCTTGTGGAAGAAAGCCTCAACGCTACTGATCATGATCATGTAAGCATTCAAAAGGCAGCTGAAACTTTGTGGGTAGATGTTGAAGTGTACCACAAATGGTTAGGAACTAAGCTGCCAAATCCTAAGTCTAAAATGAATACACCGGGAGATATTCTTCAATGGTTAAGGGATAAGGCTAAGAAGAAGGTCAACAAGGTGGAAAGTATGGATATCAGAAGCCGAAGTTATGGTTCTAAATACAAGTCAATTTGTGCCAATTCAATGTATCGTATCACTGAAACAATCTTGCTCAACGTCTACCACGAGAACATTGATCAGCAGGTTAGCCAAGAGGAACTATTTGCACATGTATCATCAATGATCGCTGATATAATAGCTGCTTGTCTCACCAACTTACCCCAAGTCATTCTAATGAAATGCCATGAAAGTGTCATAGAGAAAAGGGAGGCGAGTGTTCAAGCTGCAGCTCAACTTCTAGGTGAGACTGCAGGGATAATCATCACCCTTCAAGAACGTGAACTTCCAAGATTGAATCCAGACGAGTTGGCGTTTATCGACAAGTGGTCAGGTGCTTACTTATTAGAGAATTCGTTTCCTTGACAACCATTTTGGTCTGCAAGTAACCTGGCAAGTTCATATAGATTTATCGTACTTTCTATTCCTTAAAAGAATGTAGAAGATTATGTCATTGTTTATTTGCTTTCCTTTGTTAATATTTGAAACTGTGTTGGTCAAAGGTCATCGTGCATGGGGCTTCAAAAGTTCAAAGTCATTGGAACCCTTGCGCAAACATTATATATGTTGTTGTTTCAATCTATATTTGTGGTGAAGTTATCTTTTCGTTTCATTCATCTACATCAGTGGATGGCATTTTTCTACCACTTCATTAATTACTTATTCTATTATTTTTAACCTCAATTACTAAATGATATCAACAATGGTTAATCTCTCTTCATAAATTATTTTAATTAATTTAAATAATTTATCCTCACGCATCTAAAATCTCTATAAGCCTCTCATTCATATTTTTAAATATACATTATATCTATAATGTCACAAACAAACAAATAGGTTAGGTATTTATTTTATATACATGATATACGGAAAAATTAATATAATTATTATGTCATATTTACAAAAAAAAAAATGATTGAAAATATTATATAATCGTTATAAAATTTATATTTCATTAATGTTAGTAAATAATTAATAGAAATAATTAATTAGTAATAAATAACAAATATTTAAAAACTAAAATATAATTAACCATATAAAATGAAATCTAGTAAGCACCCAATCTATAATAAGCATCATATAAAAAAATATAGTAAACCGATATGTGTGATTCGAAAACGATAATTTTGTGCACCTGCAAGTGTGTATAGGTAGGTTGAAGAAAGGAAGAAGATTTGAAATAACCCAGATCTATATTGGTCGATACTATACAAGAGAAAAAGGGCCAATATGAAACATATTGTGTTTCATGTTCGTTTTTTAGTCTTGATTAAATAGGTTGTTAAATTTTTCTTTTTGCAGAATAAGGCGGAGATGATGGTTGTGTTGGTGCGGAATCCAATGGCGATGAAACTTGGCTAAAGAAAGAAGAGAAGGCAAAGAAGAAAACTGCAAGGTGATGATTGGTAGATGATGTGACCTGGTCAACAGACGATTACGCCTTGTGCCTATGATTATTCTGATGAGCCTGCAAGGTCACAACAGGAAGGAACCGTTAGCCGTTCTCTGGGAGGAGGCTCCCGGGAAAACGCTCCGACGGTCAAGTCAGTGGATAGACTTGGGTGTATTCTAGAGTGAACTGAGAAAGAGCAACTTATTTTCCAAGGTACCGGGCGTTTTATACTAAGGCCTTCTGTTGGTCCGTACAGAACAAAGGCGTCAGACCCAACAAGATCAGGACGCTGATCGGGTAATCTTGCTCCTTGATCTGTCAGAGACAACGATTGGTTCATGTGATAATGCTCTCAGCATCTTCCTTGTCGGATGGAGCTGTTATACTTTGTCGTAGAGTAGAAGCCGCACCTGGCATCCGCAAGAAATAGGTTCTATCAGGCTTATTCCGCTAAGCGTGACTTGCCTTGTGGAATTATCCGGCGCGTCTGAGCGCGACTCTTCGTTCGTGTCAACGACACATCATTAGTAGAGGTTGTTCTAACCGTGAAGAAGATGATGTATAACTGTGAAGAAGATGATAAACCATGTGGTTATTGGTCGAGAATGTTCAGGTTATGGACAAGTCAGAATTAAGGGGTTATTATAGACTTCAATTCCGACTTTAATCAAAAGTGGGTAAATTGGTCATGGGCTTAGTTATTTTTAGCATATAAATTTGATTTAGTGTGGTCAGTTTTTTTGTTTCCGCTTTTACCGAGTCCTTAGGAAATGTAGAGTGTTGATGACTTGTTTAGTTGGTTGGATGTTAGCCTATTTAAGGTACTTTTTGGATGTTGAACAAAGAAATATGCAGTCTTTCTTCTTTTATCTATCCATCTTTTTCTTTCTTTCTTTGAAACATCACAAGAAAATAACACTTAACTTAAGTGTTATTTTCTTGTTCAAAGAAGAAGCTTTATCTTCTACATCATGATGGGTGTAGATGTTACGTTCAATTAAGATCAAGAACACATAAGAACAAAAAAAAGATTACATGCATTATATGGCTTACTTGTGTGACTAACATATGCCAATGGTTTGCATGAAGCATAAATAGGTGTGTGTTTGTTCTTGGTGACCAAGTAAGTGAAACGGATACACAAGAGAAAAAATAATGACCTATGTTGATAAGGAATGACGCACTTGGAGCTTTTGTATAACAGAGTGCATGGTGCCCCTCTTTGAAGTGCATGAAGCAACCAAAAAACAGAAAAAAGAAAAGGGTTGGTGCTCACATGTTGAGTTCGAAGGATAAAAAAAACCACAATAAACCAAAAATGAGACAGAGCCTAATGTTATAGGGTTAATGACTTAGGAGGGTAATTACGTTTACAGTTTGTCCGCATTAGGTCACTAAGTTTTTTTTTGTGCGCATTAGGTCACTAAGGTTGTTATTACCGTTTAAAAATAGTTTTTTTTTACCTGTTTAACCGGTTAAAAAGTGAATACATGTTATATACGGGTGTTACGTGGTTATTAGGCCATTACATGGATTATTAGGTGGCATTTAATGTATATTTCGTCTCCTTAAATTAGGGCAAGACGAATCCCCAATTAATTTCTCTTTACTCTCACTCGATCGTCAAACAAGTCATCTATCCTCTAGAGTGGGTAACGGTTCTTCACCGTTACCTTATTCAGCTCCCGGTAATCTATGCACATGCGATGCGACCCATCTGTCTTCCTTACGAATAGGATCGGGGCTCCCCATGGTGAACTACTCGGCCTGATGAAACCCTTTTCTATCAGCTCGTGCAGCTGTGTAGACAACTCCTGCATCTCTGTAGGAAGCAACTGATACGGTGACTTAGCTATCAGACTCGCACCAGGAACCAGGTCAATCCGAAACTCGACCCGTCTTTTTGGAGGTATCCTAGGTAAGTCCCTCGGAAATACGCCCGGATACTCTCGCACTACTGGTACGTCATTAACTGTTGCCTTACCCTTCTCCCGGACATCTATAACATAGGTAATGTACCCTACGCAACCCTGCTGAACGTAGTGTCTCGCCCTCGCTGCTGAACAAAGGAATGGTCCGCGTTATGGCCTATCGCCCTGAATCACTAGCTCTCCCCCCTGGGAGTGCGAACCTTCACTAACTGCATCTTAAAATCAATCACTGCCCCATTGGGGCTTAGCCAACCCATAACCACTATAACCTTATTCCCTAGCAGGGGAATAGGAACCAAGTCCACCGAAAACTGCTCATCAAATAATTGCAGCGAACACCCCCTATGTACTCTCGCAACCCTGATGGTCATGTCTTCTGCTATCTCAACCTCAAGTGGACAGTCCAGCTCCCCCGGAGCTCTACTAAACCTCTTGCTAAGTGCAAGTGAGACAAAAGATCGGGTAGCCCCTGAGTCAAACAACATTGTAGCTGAAATATTGTTCACTAAGAATGACCCCGCCACCACGTCAGGAGTCACTCACGCCTCCTCAGTCGTCATTTGAAAAGCTCTACTCTTCGCCACCGGCGTCTCACTCCAGCCCTAACAGCCGTCTATAATCCTCAATGTTGCTGGGGCAGGTGTTACCACCTTCCATGCTGCTGTTAAACTTGGATACTAGGACTTTTTATATCCCCTCTGATTGCAATGGAAGCAAATTAGATCAGATGCTGCAGTAGTGGTAGCAGTTGTACAATCTCTACTCGTATGCCCAGTTCGACCGCACTTGTAGCAACCGGTACTACCTACCTTGCACGCCCCATCGTGCAATCTCCCACACTTGCCACACCGACTGTGGCTCTGTTGTCCTCTAGATCTGTGATCTGATACCTTGGGCTTTTTGCCCGAAATTCATGTGCCAAATGCCGCCTCTGGCTTTCTCTTCTTCTCCATCTCCAAATCTATCTCTCTCTTACAAGCCCTCACAATCATATCATCCAACGTTTTACAGCTAGACCGGCTCACAAACTGACGGATATCACTCTGCAACATCTCATGATAACAGACTGATGTGTGTAAAATGCACTGGTTTTATTCCTCCTTTTAAATTATAAATTTAGCACACAAAGGCAGTGAACCTGTCTTTTAGTGGTATAGTTAGATAAGTAGAGTGTCGAACTTAGGGAACGGAAATTAAACTTAGAACTAATTTTAACTAAACAAGTAATAAAAGTAAAGGTTTTTCTCTAGTTTTACAAGACTAGAAACTTAAACACACCACCTAACAAGCGATTAACTAACAACTAAAAACAAGTAAAAATTCACCAAATTTGATAAAGAGTTTCTGTTTAGGTCCAACCAACTCACTCCTATGGTTATTTGTATAATGATAAATTAATTGTTATTGGTTACCAACTAGAGTGGTTAGATTCATGTTCACTATTAATAACCCTTAGACAATTAATCAATTCATGCAGTGGCCAATTGTTTAAACTAATTAATTCCCTAATTCAATTATTTGGATTAAATAAGATATGTAATTGGTTAATCAAGTTGGTGTTTCAATTAACCTTTTGTTTGTTGGTTTCTCAAACAAGCTCACACATTAATTTACACATTCTCTAATTAATCCTAGTTTCATGTTCATTATTCCTAGGCATATGATAAAGTGTTCACATAAACATATGAGGTTAACAACTAAGAGATGTTCATGCAGCTTAATTGTCTTCCAATTAACAGAAAATAGTTGTGGTTAATGCATAAGGTTCTTTAACAAACTTAATTTAATAAAATCATCAATAAACAATCAATAAAAGTAATAATTAAACCACAAGAGTAACTTGGTTTTTCCTAAACAGAAACAATACGAATTTAGCTCATGATTACAGTGGAAACAAGCTCAACAACGAATTTAACTAGGCTAGACATAATTCAATCCTAAGATTAAGTGGAAAATATAACCTAATTTGCCTTGAGTCTTCTAGATCAAAGGTTAGGGTTCTTTAGGTCTCCAAAGGGTTCTTCAATCGCAGGTGTAACTCC